AATTACCTGCACTATTTTGGGGGTTCCTTATTATACTTAAAAAACCTTGTTCTGACTATTAAGGCTCCTACATTGGGGTTTAGGTTTCGACGAGTCTTGGCTTCCGCCCTCCCGCAAAGGCCTCGTCTGACCAGGAGGCACCAGCAACAAACCCCGAATTTATCCCTTAGCCCAGAACTCCAAACCTTAAACCGTTTTCAGCCCGCAACCCTGAGCCCTGAACCCTAAACCCTAAACCCTGAACCCTAAACCCTAAACCCTGAACCCAAAACCCTAAACCCTAAACCCAAACCTGAGACCGTTTTCAGCCCGCAACCCAACCTAAGCCTCGAACCCAAACCCTGGCCCCTCAACGTAGGGGCCTTAATGATTAGAATAGGGTTTTGGGCCCATTCTACTATAATTATAATAAGGAACCCCCAAGATAGCGTTGGTAGTTATTGAGGCCCGTTAATTGAACCACAAACCTGCCTCTCGAATGCAAGCTTCCGAAGACGGAACGGAAGACGTTAAGATCATGGCAACCTTACTACCAAAACCACTCGCGAAGTGGTACCCCTTGTTGTAGCTCAGCCTTGTAATGAAGGCCTTATGACAAAGTGGGAAACTTTGGTAGAACCCGTAAAATCTTTGCAGAACACTTATCAAATCCTTACAGCCCCTGATCAACGCCTTCAGACGCCTAGAAACCCGCTACTTAAGAGCTATAGACTTATCGAACCCCTTGCTCCTTGAACACCCCCACAACCCAAAGTCTACGAAGGCTTTACCAGTCTGGAGAAAGCGGCTGCAGCCCTCGTTGAGGCGGACGCTTGGATACCAGCGGAAGTGTATGTGTGGAAGGGTTCCATCGGCTTGTAGAGGTCTTTTGGGTTTTATGGGGGCTTGTTTTTCTCTGTTTTGCCAGTATTTTGATAGGGCTTACACAGGATTTGAATGTGTAGGATTTTTGCTGAGGGATTTATCAAAGTCTCAAGAGGTTTCTTCAATAGAAAGAGGCCGGATCTTCTAGAGGGCCTTGTAGGTAAGGGTCCCATTATGTGGATCTATGTTGGGGTCCCTTATAGTGCGAAGCTCCCATTTCGAGTGTGCTGTCTTGGTCTCAGAGTGTTCGGGTTTTCACGGGTTGTTGCTTACATAGCTGTTTTGAAATCTGGGATTCCTCTGACGACATAGGAATACCATACTGGGTGTCCTTGTACTTAGGATGCGTCTGTCAAGGCTTTTCGGGTCTTTTTATCTGCTGGAGCCCGGACGTCGAATTTGTCGGTTGATTTCTTTTGTTTTGGCGGGGGCGGGGGGGTGTTGGTGCAGAGATTGAGGGTTCCGGAATCTGTTTTGCTGGGATAGCCTGAACCTTGAACCTTGAACCCTAAACCCTAAACTTCAACCCTAAACCCTAAACCCTAAACCCCAAACCCTAAACCCTAAACCCTAAACCCCAAACCCTAAACCCTAAACCGTAGCCACGACAGCCCAGGACTACCTCCGCATCACAAAAGCATGGGGGATCCCCGGCCACGGCGGGGCTTTGGGACCGGAGCGCCAGGAGAGCTGGGTTTTGAGTACCATGCTGTTTTGCAAGTTTTGGGGTTTAGGGTTTAGGGTTTAGGGTTCCTGTTCCTTCAAGAAACCAGAATGAAATGAAGATTTCCGCTTTTTTGCCTCTGCTTACGTCAAAGTGTAGGAGATGTATCGTCTGCTGAATGTGGGTCAGCAGCTCCCTGGCGCCCTTTTTCTTGCTGGGTTTAGGGGGTTTGAGGAGTTTAGAAGCCGTGAGCCCTGAATTACACACTTGGTGAGCGGCAGGGTTTTGAGATTTAGGGGCAGGGGAGGCTAAACCCTAAGCCCTAAACCCGGTCCCGCAGGGTCTGAGTACTTCAAGGCCTGGGGCTCATGAGGATGCAGGGTGTAGTAGTGGTTAAGGGCTTAAGTTCTGAGGTTTTGTGGATTTGCTGTCATCTTATATATATATATGTACATATATATATATATATCTATGTATATATATATATAAATAAATATATATATATATATATATATATATGCTA